GGTCCTGTCCCTCAGCACTTCAGCCCCTGGCTCAGGCTCTACCACCACTTCTCCTGTCACCACTACAGTCCCCAGTGTGCAGCCTATTGTCAAGCTGGTCTCCACAGCCACCACTGCACCCCCTAGTACTGCTCCCTCTGGTCCTGGCAGTGTCCAGAAGTACATTGTGGTCTCACTTCCCCCCACTGGGGAGGGCAAAGGAGGACCCACCTCCCATCCTTCTCCAGTTCCCCCTCCATCATCATCCCCCTCTCCCCTTGGGGGCAGTGCCCTCTGTGGGGGGAAACAGGAAGCTGGGGATAGTCCCCCTCCAGCTCCTGGGACTCCAAAGGCGAATGGCTCCCAGCCCCCCAGCTCTGGCTCCCCTCAGCCTGCTCCATGATACTCCCATTTCCAGTCCCGGGTTCCCACATGCACGCACATATATGGGCTGGAAGGGAATAATAGGCTGCTTCCTCCACATCGTTTTCTTTTTAGACATTGTACAGCTAGTTCCTCAGAATAAAAGTTTGGTTTGTAAGTTCTGTCCACCTCAGTCCTTCCTGTGTTGGGGTACCATGAAGGGATGAGTCTGTTAGGCCCTCCCGGTCTCTTAGAACTCATGATCAGGCCTTTTACTGCCTACACCCAGAGCCATGGGCCAGAAGGCCAGACTGTTCTTTTTTCATTTGATAAAATCTCGCCTTGGTGTCCTCATATGGGGAGCTTCAGATCCGAATGACATAGGCATTGCTGTGGCTTAGGTGTCGCACCCACTTGTGTGGGTTGGTGTTGCCACAGGGTCTGAAGGTGAGCCTGAGGAAGCGAACCTGGAGGCCAGAGCATGTGTACCGAGGAAGTTCAAAGGAGAGGCTGGCAGGGCCCAGTCCCAGAGGAGGGGCCGAGGTAGAGGGCCCATGGCTGTGAGGTCCCGGAGGGCCTGGGACATCCATCTGTGAGAAGCAGAGGTAGGGAGAGGGAAGAAAGCAGGAATCTGACCACACTGGAGAACAAGGCAGCAACTGCCTTAGGAGGGCAGGATGAGGGTCTGCAAGTGCAAGTCAGGAGAGGAGGGGGCTGGAGGGCTGATAGCGGATACCTGGAAGAGGCCTGATAGTTGAGAGCCTCCTTGCACCCGGGGCAAGTCCCAGTGAAGGGCTCCCTCCCTGAGCTCTGCCTTCTGCTCTGGGCTGCTCAGCTCCTGGGACAGGCTGGAGTTTGGAGAGGAAGGTGCTGGGGCTTGGCCATGCATTCCCTGGGGCAGACCAGGTTACTCACCTCATCTCCCAGTGCTAAGCTCCCCCAGGAAGCTCTCCTGGGACACACACACTAACCTGACCACCCCTCGAGGCAGGGGAAGATGAAGCCTTATGTTGAGAGCTTGGCTGCAGAGAAGAAAGGAACAACGTCAGCCCCAGAAAAGCACAGTCTCTTGCCCTTATTCCTCTCAGATGTCAACAGTGCAAGTTCAGCATGCCCCCTGCTCTAAATGCTACAGCCTCTAACCAAATTGGATTCTGAGGCTGGTAGCTGCATCTGAGGGAAGCAGCAACAGGTACCTTGGCCTGTCTCCTGCCCCATACAGCAGAACTAGGCCTGCTAGTGCCTACTCTTACCTCTTTGGAGGCAGATCACATCTTAACTTCAAATAAACCTGGAGGCTGAATGAAAAGATAAGATACCATTGTCATATCACCTTTCCCTACCCAGGGCCTCCATGCAGGGCTGTGTAGGTTGTACACCAAGAAGGGCTAAAATCCACTCCTACTTCACTAAAAAAGACTTTTTCCAAATCTACCCTATTACCAGCAAACCCCTCTATACTAAGTGCTGGGAATATATACATCTTGGCTTGGGTTCTAAGATAGCTCTAGAACACAGAAATGGTCTCACCGGCCTGAGCTTCGGTCCCATTGCACAGAGGGAAAGAGCCGGAAGGGCAGTGGTGAGGGGAGGTCATCAGAGAGTTGGTACCGCATCACAGTCAGCTGAAGCCAGACAGGAGTAAGGTCAGTTTGGTCTCCTCACACCTGCACTGCCTCCCTTCCCTGTGGTGGACAGACTATGCTAGGTCACCCTGCGCCTGGGCCTGACCTCGCCCTGAGGTGGCTGTAAGCGGAGGATTCGATGAGACTCAAACTCATCCAGGTTCACAGAGCTGTGGAATGAGACCTCATCAACCCGAATTCCTGGTCCATAACCTAGAAAGAGAGAAGGATTCTTCTGACCCATATTTCAAGAGAGTAAAGCAGGAGGAAGGGAGACAATCCATCTCTTAACTTTTCTTCATGAACTCTAAAGACCCAATTTCTCACCTCTCAGTTCTGACTTCCCTACACAGAATTCTTCTGTCAAGCCAATGCGCATCTCTGTCAGAAGAAAGAAAGAGGGTCAGCAAGCACTACCACACTCAACACCAAGCAGCTGGTCCCAAACCCAGCCCTGGGTCCAGTCTGCACATTCCTCACCAGAGCCACTGGGAAGGAAGCTCTTGAGCCGGATCTCTCCCTGCACATCCATCTTCAACAGTGAGCCCTGAGGGAGTGGTAGCGAGGTCAGTGCCCTAAATCTTGATGGCCCTAATACATTTACCAAATCCTATTTGTCCTCATCTACAGAGTTGGGAGCTCCAACTTACATTGGATGCTATCAATACAGACAGTCTCTCAACCACATCCAAAAAAACTTCATTCTTTTGGCTCTGAGAGAAAGAGAAGATTTGGGTGGTTGGAGGCAAGCAAACCGTTTTCTAAAATGGACAAGCAGAAGGGACAGGGCAGTCCAAGCTAGGGCCCGGTGGTGCGGAGAGGGTATAGGGTGAGGGAGAAGATACCCATGACCAGGGGAGATGGATATACCTGGAAAAAAGCCAAAGGATCTGACCCCATAGACTCCTCCCTTACCTGGTCAGAACGACTGGACAGGACAGGGCGGCTAGCTGCACTGCTGGGGGCCACTTTGCTCTGTTGTGTCTCAGCCCCAAACTGTAAAGTACCCAAAGCAATCAATCCTCAGGTATGACACTCTTAGATCACCCCCCTTTCCCCTTGTCTTCCTCTTTCCTTCTACTGACCAAGCCAACACTGCTGAGGTCAAAGAGGCTAAAGGGCTTGCTGACCACGGCTTCCGCCTGGATGAAGTTCCTCAGCATCTCCATGGAGGTGGTCTGCACATAGCCATAGTCCTAGTGGTGAAGGAAGGGCTTTGGGTGGCCAGTGGAGGGAGGGGGTGAAAATGAGTGGAATTAGCCTCCCAACCACAGGATGCCGCAGGGGAAAGGCAGACAAGAATATCTATGGGTCTCACCAAAACTTCATCCAGGAGTTCGTAGACCAGAGCCACATTGCGAGAGATGGTCCCCTCACCCAGGGAGCCACAATAATCACCCAGGAGAGTGGCCAACCTGAGGAAACATAGCCGAGTGTGCCTATCTTCCTCCTCTTCTCAGACCCCCTACTCCCAGGCACCCTACCCAGCCTTCCTCACCGAGAGAGCAGCTCTAGTATGCTGAAGGGAGAAATGTTTTCTGAAGCAGTGGCTACCAAATAGAGGCCACTGTGTCTGATGTGAATGAAATGACGGTCATCGTGATGCTGAGACAAAAGCAGGGAGAAAGGCATTAGGATAATAGACGGGTCGTGAGCCTGGATCCCAATGTCTCTACTAGTTGGAGTAACAGTGCGACTTTGGGCGACACCTAAACCCTCCCTGAAGCCCAACTTACTAATGTGTAATGATGTTGATAACGCACCTACCCCAGAAGTGTTGAGAATTATAAGGAGCAGTGCTCAATGGACTTTCGCTAGTTTTACTTGGAGTTAGCTGACTCTCAAGTACAAGTTTTCAAAGAACCAGCTCAGGGAAGAAGGAGGCGCCCACCTTGCCCGTTAGCCCCAGTCCCCGGTGGTTACCATGACAACCGGGGACTCATCTCCTGCCAGTCCCGTCAGCTTCCGGTAGAATAGCTCGGCCACATCCCGGCCGCCACTGTCTCCCCTGACTGGCGGGTAGAACAGTTAAGGAGCCTGCGACACGGCTGGCTCCGGCCATTACTCCCACCCAGCCCCTCCACCTTGCTCCCGCGGGTCAAGGATACAGTCTTTGTAGATGAGCGGGTCCCCCTTGGAGGACAGAATGAAAAACTGGGATATCATGGCCGTTCTGAAGAGTAGACAAGGCGGCGGCGAAAGTTGGGCCTGTCCCGCCTGGCGGTCCTGGAACAAAAAGGCTTGCGTGAGCTGGCCCTTTAAGAGCGATTCTCCTCTGCGGGTGCCACCTCCTACCGCGGGAAACCCGGCGCCAGCCCGGACTCTCCCGGCAATTCCCACTCGACACCCCTACCTCCTCCCGTCACTCATCTCAGACTCACCCGGTGATTGGCCGAGGCTGGGGCCTGCGGCGAGTGGGGAGGGTGGAGAGCCATCCTCTCTGATTGGCGCAAACTCAGTGGCGCAGATCACGTGGGGGGCGACGTTTCGCGCCAATTTCGGTTGGTCGGCCACAATCCAGCGCGTGTACGGTCTCTTCTTTCCCGGGAGCTAGACTCCTGAGCCCGCCAACTGCTGCTGCACTACCCTGGGCAGCGATGGCACTTAAGGATTACACGCTTGAGAAAGGTGAGGGTCTGCAAGCCTGGGAGGAGCGTCCTGCGCGGTAATCTTCCAGACTAACACCTGTGCTTGTAATTGGGGTCTTAGGGGGCCCTGTCCGTGGGCAGCAAGGCCAGACGCAGGGTCAGGCGGCGGCGTGGCTGAGATAAAGCATGCAGGAGGGAGGCTTGGGGTTAAAGAAAAGCTGGTAATCCTGCCCAGGAAAGGTGATGTGGACGTGGGAAGGGGGATAATCCTGCTGAGGGGCTGCAGAGGAGTGGGTCGCGCCCAGAAAAGACGCGGACCCTGTTTAAGGGCTTTCGGCCTCCGGTGGCGACCTAAACCCGCTTCGCTCCGCCCTTTTCGGTACTCTGGGATTCCCGCTTTCTCGGTAGAGGCCCCGAAACCCCAGGGGCGGGCAGGCCCGGGCCGCTGCGCACCGGGATTGGACGCTTCAGGCCGCCCTCCAAGCGGAAGTGGAAGCGGGCGGAAGTGGCGCGAAGCAGTTGGAGGGAGTGTCGTGTGTAAACAGTGTCCTTCCGCGCGGTGGCTTCAGAGAGAGCTGATGAGGGTGGGGGCGTGCCTGGAATTTGGGGGTTTAGCTCGTGGCCGAGAACCGCGGCAGTGGGGAGGGACGGAGAGGCTTTCGACGTGCTGGCCAATGGCGGGACGGGCTCCCGCCTTGGGCGGAGGAATCCCAGACTGTGAGACGGCTAGAATGTGGGCCCATGTGCTTCTTTGTTTACTAAGAGCGGAAGCGCTGGCGGGAGCGGGGGTGGGGTAGAGGACTGGCCTAGTGGCGAAGATCCCGGTGAGAGCGAGGGTTTAGGGTACGCAAAGAAAAGAAGAGATTTGTGCAGGTGGAGGGAGAGAGACCTTCGAGACCAGAGTGTGCTGCAGAGTGTGGGAGGCCATAGGGAAAGGGTGCTAGGATTTTAAGCTAAAGTGGACACTGGAATTCTCCCGTGGGTGGGGGGGAACGTTGGGTAGCACTCTGAACTGCCAGAGCCACTTAGTCTTCCTAGGTAAAAACAGACTTGTGAAAAGGAGTTTTACCCACTTTAGGGGGAATTATGTAGGATTATTTAAATATCTGTGTAATAAGTAACTTACAGATCATGTTTTAAGCGAGAATAGATTTTTTTGTTTCTACCAGAAGAATATATAGTAAGTTATCTATTTAAAAAAAGGCTGCTAATGATTTTGCACTTACCTTGTAGAAAAGGTTAAGAAGTTTTTACAAGAGTTTTACCACGATGATGAGTTTGGAAAGAAGCAGTTCAAGTATGGGAACCAGCTGGTAAGTGTAACATTGGGTGAAGGGAGTGGGTTGGTGTGCTTAAGTGGTGCTATAAGAGGTGACCTGGCATGTTTCAGGAAGTCTTTTTGTTTGTAAGTAATAGTTTGGTGCAGTATGTGATACTTAGTAGGTGAATATAATACTATAATATGTTTATGATTAGACTTTTTTAATGTTTGGAGATTGAGAAGTGAGTGTTGCTGTCTGATTCTGAACTTTCTCCTCTGTGGGTCGCTAAAGCTGTGCTCTGCGTTCATAGTGATATGTGAACGCTGATGAACAAGGTACAAATTTGGCTTTGAGGTATTGGTATTTTTTTCCCATTGCAGGTTCTGCTGGCTCATCGGGAACAAGTGGCACTGTATGTGGACCTGGATGATATAGCCGAGGATGACCCTGAGTTGGTGGATGCGATTTGTGAGAACGCAAAGCGCTATTCGAGGCTCTTTGCTGAAGCTATACAAGAGCTGCTTCCTCAGTACAAGGAGAGGGAGGTAAATGGCTGGAGAATAGGGCAAGGGAGGTAGGTTTCTGTCTCATAGCTGCTTGGATTATGATTTTTTTTTTTTGAATTGGCAGATAGGAAGGGCAGTGACTACTACTAGGCAGTGTTCTCTCTTTTCCTTGTTATTCTATTTTTTCTGTCTTTTTTAGGTGGTAAATAAAGATGTTCTGGATGTTTACATTGAGCACCGGCTGATGATGGAGCAGCGGAGCCGGCAACCTGGGGCTGTGCGAAACCCCCAGAATCAGTACCCTCCTGAGCTCATGCGCAGATTGTGAGTAGGCACTGTGGGGAAGGGTATAGGTACGTGTTTTCTCCTGAACCTTGCTAATGACTGTTTTCCTCTTAGCGAGCTATATTTTCAAGGCCCTAGCAGCAATAAACCTCGTGTCATCCGGGAAGTACGAGCTGACTCCGTAGGGAAATTGGTAACTGTGCGTGGAATCGTTACTCGTGTCTCAGAAGTCAAACCCAGGATGGTGGTGGCCACATATACTTGTGACCAGTGTGGGGCAGAAACCTACCAGCCGGTACGTGTGGAGTGAGGGACTGGAAGGCACTCATTAATGTTTATCATTTATTGTTTTCTCTGCTTGTTGCAAAAGATGTTTGTGTGTTAGCTTTTTATCCTTTATTGTGGCACATGATGGACTTTTTTCTTGTGTTCTTGGTTTTTGTCACTATTGACTTAGAGTAGTTCAAGGGGTTCTTGACCCTTTCGTGATATTTGCCATGAAGAAATGTAATTAAAGTGAATGACTTAGAAAAGGCTCTTTTTCTTCTGTGTGTGGTTTTTTGTTGTTGTTGTTGCAATTTGGCTGGGGCCTGGTTTGAACCCACCACCTTTGGTATATGGGGCCGGTGCCCTACTCACTGAGTCATAGGTGCTGCCCTCTTCTGATTTCTTTTGTTGGTTCTTTTCTTTTTTCTTTTCTTTTTTTTTTTAATCACCCTTGGTAGTACCCTGGCATCATGCAGCTGACAGCAACCTCCAATTCCTGGGCCTAGGCAATTCTCAGCCTCCTGAGTAGCTGGGACTGTAGGCGCCTGCCACAACACCTGGCTGTTTTTTGTTTGCAGTTTGGCCGGGGTCGGGTTTGAACCCTCCACCCTCCGTAAATGGGGCCAGCACCCTACCCACTGAGTTATAGGCGCTGCCTTTGTTGGTTCTTTTCTTGCATTTCTAGATCCAGTCTCCTACTTTCATGCCTCTGATCATGTGCCCAAGCCAGGAGTGCCAAACCAACCGCTCAGGTGGGCGGCTGTATCTGCAGACACGTGGCTCCAAATTCATCAAATTCCAGGAAATGAAGATGCAAGAACATGTGAGTTGGGGTATGCGGTCCTGGGCAGATGGAGCAGGGAGTCCATTTGAATCCTGTAGTCACTTGTGGAGGGACAGTAAGAAAGAACAAAAGAAGAGAACTGAGGCAGAAAAGTCACCTAAAGCAGGAGGGAGGTGTACCTGTACTTTTCTGTTTTAATCTGGAAGAAGTAAAGGAGATCTCATCTCCCTTGTTCCATAGGTTTATCTAAAGCTGGGCAGTCTGAGAAAATTCCTAAAAGAGTGGGGTGTTTAGGGAGGGAAGGTTAGGTCCTTGTGGACCTTGTGTTCCTTATTTTTTTTGCCCTGCTCTTTCCTAGACTGACCAAGTGCCAGTGGGAAACATCCCTCGTAGCATCACGGTGCTCGTAGAAGGAGAGAACACAAGGATCGCCCAACCTGGAGACCATGTCAGTGTCACTGGTATCTTCTTGCCAGTCCTACGCACTGGGTTCCGGCAGGTGGTACAGGTAAGAAATGGAATCTGAAATGAGGAAAGAGTCCCCTTTTCCCCTCACCCACTCACTCTCCCTATTTCCCACAGAGAAAACTACAGCAAAACAAAACCAAGTAGAACAAAAGGTTTTGTCAGGAGATCATTATGAAATTAGGTAATGGGCAAGCTGAAGTGATTTTATTCATATCTTGTTATTTTACTTAAGGGTTTACTCTCAGAAACTTACTTGGAAGCCCATCGGATTGTGAAGATGAATAAGAGTGAGGATGATGAATTTGGAGCTGGAGAGCTGAGCAAGGAGGAGCTGAGGCAGATTGCAGGTGAGCCAGGGGGAAGACTGGGAATTTGATTTTCATCCC